ACTTTGCCACTAAGATAGGTGCCATTCCTGTTTCCTCCTTTCTCATTCTCTCCTTTCGATAGCTAGGCCCCTTTCTCGCTTAGATTTTGTCCCACAAACCTTTACAAATTGCAAATGGGCTTTCTGTCATTCTTCTGGAGCCTGGTGTCAGTCCATCCGAGCACATTGGTGCTCAAGTCACTTTTAGGCCCCACCCCAAAATTTGATCTATCACAATACATCTTTGAGTTATTGCAGCTCGAGCGTTTTGACACGATACATTATGGTAATCCATGGCACATAGAGACATTAACACTCCCGACTTTGACAAAATACATTGTGAAGTCTTTGAAGGCACCATTACAATTTATCTTGTCATTCAGAAGGAGACCCAGTTCAGCATTAATGTAGATGAACACAGTGTGGCTTTTGTTTCATTTAATTGCTTGTGACCTTTTTAATTGCTCATTTAACAAAATACCAAAGGGTTATGTTTCAATTAAATTAACAGTTTGGGAGTGTTTTTTTTTTTTTTCTGATATGTTTATTTCTAAAACATTCTGGTTCTCTCTTTTTTTACCTTAAATAGATAAAAATGTCTTCTCTAACAGAAGTGGGTTTTTAAATGTGAAGTTGATATACAGTAATAATTTTAACACACAAATGGTATTGTGCCTACGTATGGCTGGGTTCACTCCTTTCTGGAAGGATACTTTTCTAGTCCAAAACATGCTTTTGGTACACTACTCTGCTTCAGATGTTTTTTATATATAAAGTGTCTGTTGTGTGCACCACTTCTGCCTCGTACTATTTTCTTTGTGTTCCTAATACCAAATCTGTAAGCTTCTGAAGATCAGGAACCCTGCCTTATCCTCACCAGTGTGCCTCCATAGTCTAGCATCCCACTGGCATGGGGAGAGTAGTTGCAGGTTATATGGCTGACGGATCTATACGTGTACACATGCCCCCTCCAAGCAGTGGCACTCCTGAGCCTACTTTGAAAAATGGCTGTGTAACTCCGAGACCAGAAGTTCAGCAGATGACCTGCTTGGGGGTGGGCAGCACGTACTGGAGGCGAACACAGGAGTATTCGTTAGCTCCCTACTCCCCCAGGTGTTGTTGCTCTTCTAATGCAAACACAGCCCTTGTCATCTGGGGCAAGGCTCAGGACTTACCCAAGTATCAGGGGGGCTTAAATCCCCAAATGGGATATGAATTTACACTGTTGGAGAGTAGAAGGTCAATGCAAGAAGCATTAGTGTGTTGAGCCAGCTCTAGCTATATAAGTCTTGAACAAAATTAATATAAGGAAATTGACAAGCCTTGCTGGTTATTCCATAGCTTTAAGACCTCTACTAAAATCCTATCATCTCATCTGCCCATTATTAACATTTCAGCAAAATATAAAGTTTTCATTAATCTCCCACAGCAAATTTAGGAGTGAAAACTGGCACTTGTTTGAGCTTTTAGGACTACATTAGCTGGTGTATTAAACAAAATATGTCATTCTTCAGTAGCTTCTGTAAGAAGCTAAATCAATTTCCAGCCATATTTATGCACCACTTTATCTAAAAGCATCTGAATTATCATTTACAGCTAAGATGCTTTATTAGCAGCTGGCATTGAAATTGCTCAGTAAAAAATTATATGTCACGTTATAGTAATTTTTAAATTGGTTTTAATCCAACATCATAAAATGTAAAACTCTTAAGTGTGGGTTTTTTTTTTTTTTTTAGTAATTGACATTTTAGCATAATGAGCTGTTACCCCTTTCCAAATCAAATACCTGCAATATTTAGAAAATACTAATTAGTAAAGAAAACAGAAGTTCTTGAGGTGAGTTGTATCTAATAATGGTGTTTTCTCAGATAAGATGGTTTTAACCGATTTTTAAAATATGAAAGGATTTTAATACCTCACCAAAATTCTCCACAGTTCTCCAATTTAAAAGGTTCTGAAAATAGAAATAAACATCTTTGCAGTTCTGTTTCAGTAAAGTGTGTGTTGGGGAAAGTGAATGATTATTTGAAACTCTGGAAACTCTAGCCAGCCTCTTGGTTTAAGAGATGGACATTACCCAGAAGATAGGAGTGCTTGCGACTATGACGCCTCTGTCCAAAATTACAGGTGTCCAAAGAAAGGTAGCAAGGTTACCTAATGTCCCTTACAGATGTTGAGTGTAACTCTTCTGATCCTAGCGATATGACGTTCGTTAAGTCACTCAGCCTCTCTGATCTACACCTTCCTGTGGACACGGCAGCTCATACTCATCCAGTAAATTTTCATCAAGCACTTGCTTTATTCTGGGCGTGGTAGCACTAGCAGGGTCTAGGCTATAATGGTGAGTAAAACAGTCACTCTGCCTGCCCTCTTGGGGCAGAGACAGATAGTGATCAGCTGTGAACAGCACTCTGCAGGAAAATGCTGGGTGCAGTGGTAAAAGGAGCTGTGCAAGACTTGGGGGCCCAGGGTCAGGGAAGCTTTCCCTGGAGTGTCACTTGATCTAAGCTCTTCAGGAAGAACAGGGAGGAGACTTGGAGATAAAGGTCAGGAGAGAGTGAAGTGGGGAGAAGGATGACCTGGGCAAGAGGACAATATGCACAAATACTCAAAAATGGGACCGTATCACAGGCCCAGTGAATGACCATGCCATTCAGTGGATGGCATCGAGTGAATGACCCAGTGTAGGTGAGGCTGCATCTTCATTGTGAGGAGAACATTATTGTAGGGGCTGGAGTTAATCTAGCTGGGAGTAATTGTAGGGTTTGGAAACCAAATTCACAGTTCCTAATAAATGAGTTCAATGTAAAGTCATCAGAAACTAACTTTGACTTTAAAGCTTACCCTGTAAGCAGTAACTATGGAGAGGAAAAACGTATAATTGTCAGACTGACATTTATGTAACAGAATTTTCCTGTTTTATACCCAAATCTAGAGTTTTCCATTCCTCCAGCTCTGTCCCAAGGAGTTCTCTCTGGATTTCCCTGTGGGCCATCTCTGGGTGTGCCACACAAGGCTTAGGGCACCCTGCTCTGGTTGGCCTCTGCTGTACAGGTGCTCCCATCCCACAGGTTCTCCCGTCCCAGCAGCTGCACCTTCAGAAGACCACATTTTAAACTCTGGGGGACGGGAGATAATTTAGCTTTGCTTAGTGTGGCCCTGGGCACATGACTTTACTTCCCAAAGCCTCAGATTCCTCGTCTATGTAATAGGGAAAAATGCTTAAGTGCATGTGTAAAGCCCTTAGCACCACGCCTGATGTATAGTAAGCACTCATACATACTGGTTCTTTTCTTTTTTTTTATTTTATTTATTTGACAGAGATCACAAGCAGGCAGAGAGGCAGGTGGGGTGGGGTGGGGAGCAATCTCCCCGCTGAGCAGAGAGCCCGATGCAGGGCTCGATCCCAGGATCATGACTTGAGCTGAAGGCAGAGGTTTAACCCACTGAGCCACCCAGGCGCCCCCACATTGGTTCCTATTTTATTTTATTTTAATTTAGCAAAATTTAACAAGAGCATACCAGCTGCCTGTACTGCTTGCAAAGATACAGAGATGAATGAGAAACTTTACTGTCAAAAAGCTTCCAAATTAGGGGCTCCTGGGTGTCTCAGTGGGTTAAAGCCTCTGCCTTCAGCTCAGGTCATGATTCTAGGGTTCTGGGAACGAGCCCCACATCGGGCTCTCTGCTCGGCAGGGAGCCTACCTCCTCCTCTCTGCCTGCCTCTCTGCCTACTTGTGATCTCTGTCTGCCAAATAAATTTTTAAAAAATCTAAAAAAAAAAAAAACTTCCAAATTAGGCTAGAACAACCACTCAACAATTTAAGTGCAAGGCTGAATGTATGTGGTCCTCTGTGACAGAATAAACATAATCATGACTGCTCTTTCATTAAGTGTATTATGTGTTACAGTCTTCAAATACATTTTGGCATTCTGTGCATGGTAAAAACTGGGGTTCAGAGAGAGAAAGTCACTTGCCCAATATCATATAGCAAGTTAGAGGCAGAGCTAGAAATTGAACCCCAGGTCTGCCTGGCTCCAGGGTCCAGTATAAACCAGCTGCTTTGGAATTCAGAAGGAGGCAGAGTTGGAGCTGCCCTGGGTGGAGTTTTGGCAAGTACAGGTTAAGGTTGGAAGGGACGTTCTAGGCTACCACATGAGGAAAGGCCCAGAAATAGAAAAACCTGGACTTGTGTGCAGTCTGAGGAGTTTGGGAGGTGCTGCAAGAAGGTGTGGATGAGAAATGACAATGTAAAATTGAAAAATTATGTCTCAGCCAGATTATGGACAGCCTTCATTGCTTGGCTGGAGACAGTGCCCCATCCAGGAGGCCATGCGAAGCCAGGGAGGATTTTCGAGCACCAGCCTTCTTATTTGTCCCCAGTATCATGTATCAGAGTACTGAGCGTGCACAAAGCTCTCCCTAGACTTCGAGCAAGTGAATAAATGATCAAAGCTTCAGAAAGCTATATGAATCCGAAAGTCCTGTGGTGGCTAGATTGCACAGAGTGCCTGGTGCCCAGAAGGCCAGTGAGGAGACTGTTAAAAGCGGGAGCAGACTCGTGCCCGCACCCGTGGAGACTGTGGGGCACAAGACGGGAAACCAATGAACAGTTTGAGAATCTTGGAAAGCGCAAGAATTCTTCCAAGAGCTTGGATTACTTTTATGATTGGAAAAATTATTATGAAGAAAAGAAACAAGAAGTGCTTTTGTGCTTTGAACTTCCTCTCGTGGAGACGGAGAGCTTCTGGCAAGCAGCAGTCTTTCTATCCTTGTGTATCCCTGCTGCCCAGCCAAGGGCCTGCCATAGAATAGGCAGTGTTTGTGGAATTAATTGTTGAATGATGAATATGCTACCATTCTCTGTTTACTGGAATGGCATTATTAAGTCATCGCTCAGCCTTTTCTTCTCGAAATTAAATAGCCCATATTATTTTAATTTATCCCAAAGCATTTTAAGCAGACACCATTTGCCAAGCCTCATGTATCTTTATGTGTTAAAGTGTTTTTTCCTCCCCAGGTTCAAGGGCAGACGGAGTTTTTGAGGAAGATTCACAAATTGACATAGCTACAGTACAGGATATGCTTAGCAGCCACCATTACAAGTCGTTCAAAGTCAGCATGATCCACAGACTACGATTCACAACCGATGTCCAGTTAGGTAAGTGCATGAACCGATGAGGGACTGGGCCCTTTGTATCCATGGTCATCATAGAAACGGGAAAAGAAACAAGATCCGGCTTTTATGTGACCTGAATGACTGATGGTAATTTGTTTTCAGAGAAAATGTTTAAACAGTGAAATGTAAAGTACCTCCTTTTCCCCCACCTGAGTGCTCTGTCTTGTCTTCTTTTTTATGAAGCAGATTAGAAATAGAGCTAACTTGAGACTCTTTTCAAACTGATTGACTTCTGTGAAGTCCCATAATTCTTACCATTCTATAATTCTCTTACATGCTATCCTTAGAACTGCTTTGTAGCTTTGCCACTTGCCTTTTTTTGCTCAGGCGAATTCATTGCTTATTCATTCATGCCTTTATTCAGGAAGCTTTTTAATGATCCTAGAAGTTATATTTGGATCTTCAGCAAATAATCCAGAATTAACTTTCAATTAATATTTGGGTTAATTTGTTCCAATTAAGTGCTAAATTTCTGTTTTGACTGACACATAACGGGAGTAGAAAAAGTGTCACAGTAGTCAGTACTACAGCATCATCATGGTCACAGCTGTCATTTATAGGTACGTCTGTGTATAAGGCACCGTGCTAATTGCTTCACATACACTACTGAGCTACCGCAAAGGTAGGTATTTGTACCTTCGCCATCTAGCAAAGAAGGTAAATGAGGTGCCAGAGAGGTAACGTCTGATGCCTGAGCTCACACAGCAGGGAGGTGGTGGTGTCGGGAGCAGAATGCTGGTCTGGCCGACTTAAGTGCACCTGCTGCCTACGAAAGGACACTGGGAGGAGTGGGGAGCAGGCATGGATGCCAGGCTTAGTCAGGGAGCTGACCTGTACCCTGGCTCTGCCACCAGCCTCTGCCACACCGCCCCTTCCTAGGCCGCCTCTGCCTGCGTGTGAAGGGAGGAGGTTTGCACTCCAGCTCTGAGACCCGCTGATGATAGGTTTCTCACAGATGCTCTCTATGTGTCTCATAATAAAGGCTTTTGCAGTGTTGGTGTTAGTGTGGCTAGTTTGTAATAAGCCTCAGAAATCTCTGCAAATTAAAAAAAAACAAAAACAAAAAAAAACACCTCTACAAATATTCCTCCCCAGCCTGACTGCCTGGAGCTTGACGCACGCTGACAGGAGAGCTGAGTAAGTCAGATGGGGCACCAGACTCGCAGCAGCTCTGAATCGTGGCTCTGCCAGTAGCTAGCCAAGCGACTTCAGCTCGCCAAGCCTCGATTCCTTTGTGTCTACACAGGAGTATCCATAGCACCAACTTCTTCAGATTACCTAGGGGAGCAAGTCAGATGGGCCACGTGAAGCCCTCAGCACAGGGCCTGGCAGCTGGCAGACTTTCTGGAAATGGGAGCCGTTAGTGGAACATGCAGTGGACAGACTCTGGAGCTAGAAGCTGGGGTTTAAACCCTGGCTCCTTTATTAGCTGCATTGCCACAGGCCGATGGTTCAGAGCCTCATGTTCCTCATTGGTAAACTGAAGACAATAGTCCCTGTCTCACAGATGTAGTACTTATGGGAATGAAGTGTCCTCACACATGCAGAGTACTTAGGAAGGTAACTGGCCCGTAGCAAAGCCTCCGAAAACACCAGGTGCTAGGATGATGGTGATCCTAACAGACTAACCGGATGAGTTAGCACCCAGGAACTTTGAACCAAAACCACAGAACCCACCTTCTTTCTCCTTTCTGGACCTGTTTCAGCCTCCTCACAAAAACAAACAAAATGCTAAATATCTAAAATGGTTAAAAAAAAAATACTTATTTATAATGTTGACTCTTAAAACATAAAAATCTTTAGTTTCTTTCTTCCTGGGGCTGCTTTTCCTGGTTCTTCTCATAGAAATAAAAATAATGAGGCTGCTCAAAAAGAAGCCAGATTCAGAACAGGGGGAAAGGTCCATACTGTATTATTCTACTATATAATGTTTAGAAATACACAAAAATAATGTTGGAGCTATAGTGGTGAGTGTAAATGCCTTCCAAAAATACACAATAATCTATTGTGTAGAAGTAATGATGGTGGTTATCTGTCGGGAGAGGAGGCTGTGGTGTTTGCAGGGGAGTCTAGGGATGCTGGTGAGGTTTCATTTCTTGATCTGGGCACTGATTACATGCATGCGTGGACTTTGTGGAAAAATCAAGTTATAGACACTCTTAGGACGATGCACTTTGTATTGTATATTTCTAACAGAAGTTACTAAAATAAGAATTCTGTGCAGATATCTAGTTTGTGTTTGCCTACAGTACCTTCCCAGGAACAAAGGAGAGAGTCTAGCTTTAGGAAACCCAGTAAGTAGCCCAACTGCAGCCAGGATCCAAGGCAGGAATTTTCCCAGGTGAACATCATCAGTAAGTCCACGAATTCCCAAAGTAAAAAAAAGCAGTGCTTTGGAAAGATAATCAAGATCATTGGCTCCTTTCCCACACATTATTTCCAAAGGCAAAAAGCCAGATTTTAATTCTTCAGATTCTGACATGTTTATTCACTTAAAGGAAAAGGGCCACAAAAGGATCTGGGGGAAGAGCCCTAGTCTATAGTCAGGACTGGGTTTAAATCCCAGCATTATCACTTGCCTGCAGTGTCACCTTAAAAAAATGCCTTCTCCTTTCAGTCGTCGTTTCTGTCATCTCTAGAATGGGAGTTAAAACCTTTACCTTTCAAAATAGAAGAAAGAGTATTTGGCCCATAGAAGTTCTATTCTGAATAGAAGCTCGTCTTAGTGTTGCTATTGTTGCCGCTGTCGACCTATTTTGCCTGCAGCTTTCTGTCCTAGTCTACCATCTTGAAATTAACCACATCAGTCGGGTTAGATAGTGGCTCTTTTGGCCAAGTTTCACTTGTAGCTACGGTAGAGAAGCCTTATCAGGTAGAAACGGATGAGAGTGATGCAGGTGTCTCTCCCTAGAGCAGTAGTTCTCAGAAGTGTGACAAGAGGCCAGGTCCCAGTCACTTCTGGGTGTTTCCAGTGGTACACATGGCACCCTCTGGTGGAGAGACACAGCTCCAAGGAACTTCCAGACAATCAAATGTTGTCAGAATACTTGTTTCAGTTACGAATCTAAGCTCAATCTTGAGCATTATAAACAGAAATTTCATTCATTAGTCCTAAAGAATTTTGTGACAATCACAGAAACGGCGCCCATGAGTACAATACCAGGCAGTGAATAAATAAGCCCCATTTCTTACTGCCACGTAGATGAGTTCCATATGTAACTTTGGACCCCCTCTCCCTCCTTGCAAAGCAGGTAACACCCTTTCATTTTCATAGTTAACAACAACAAAGACCTGCCAAGTGATCCAAGAATTCTTTCTTTCCAAAACTGAATCTACTGTAAAGTAGAGGGCAGCAAACAGCGCACCTTTTATGAGCGTTTGAGTGAGCAGCTGGGTTCTGAGATCAGTAAATAATTTATTTTATTTCAACTGACTAGCCAGGTGCTTCAGATCTTTCCTGACACTGATGGATGGTCTCCTCCTCTCATCCATCCTGTGTCAGTCAGAGCAGAGATTTCCCTCGCCCCCTGTGGCAAGTTCTTCTAAGTGGTAAGTGTCTGTGTGCGGCATTTCCCCAGCAGCCCTGCTGATTCCACAGAAAACTGCCCATCCACTCTGAGTCAGTGGTACGTAGGAGCATGCGGCAGCAAGCAGAATTCCCAAGCTCCGCGGGGCCATCACAGCTGCTTGTCTCGTGACCGGGTAGTCGGGGCCCGTGCTCCCGTTTCACCATCTGCCATCTGCTTCTGAGAAAGTCAGGCGAGGAGGGACTCAAACTTGGATCTGCAAGACCCAGACTTAAACTGATTTTCCACCAGACATTTCTGGGATTGAAAAACTTTATTGGAGTCCATTAGTGAAACTTACGGCAAAGACTGGATCTTTTTAAATAATATTAACATGAAGAATCACAATTTTTGAAAGTAGTTATCTATCAAGTGTATGTTGCTATGTGCCAGGCACTTTGCTGATCACTCTTATTCTTGCCTCCTAGAATCCTATCACTATTATTGGGTAGTACTGATATTGTCTCCATTTCTTATATGAGGAAACTAGGATATAGGGAACAATTACTAGTTAACTAATGAAGCTGGGATCGGAACCCAAGACTGCCTAAGCCTGAGTCCTGCACCCAGTTACCGTGTTACGCCTTGAAGGCAGATTGTCATCGCACTAACAGTCTGTACCTCTGGGACAGTTTGCAGTGTACGGCCAACTTTCACCCCATCACCTTACTTAATCCACACGGAACACTGATGATATTACTTCCATTTCATGACTCAAAAAAACAAGGCTTAGAGGAATAAATGAAGTAATGTGATGTATATGGAGAATTTAGTGTTTACTGGCACACAGCTATTACTTAATAAGCACTAACTTTCTTTCCCTCTCTCCCAGCCGTCAGGATATATGGCAGGATATCCAGTCCCAGTAACAGAACTGGGACTGAAGCCCAGTCCCATACAACAAGCCCAATCCATCAGGCCGTGGATGCCTCAGTCATTAATAACTTGCCTTCACAAAGGAAGTGATTACTTATTGGCCAGTTCCAAAATGCTGCACATCCTCCCTCTTCCCCTGCCCTAGCATCTGGAGGTCAGTGTCCGTGTAGCACGTGTGCTGCTGTCCCATCCTCCGTTTACATTATCAGTCACTGCACCTCTTCCCTCTGGGTCCAGACCTGACCTCAGAACCCTTGCTAATACGGCCCTAAAAACGATCGCTAGCGGTCAGTTGAAGTTGGTTCTTAAGTCAAAGTTTATTCACCATCCCTGCCCTGTCAGCCTGGAAAGTTTACCACATAAAATCATCATGCCTGACCATTCCCATTATTTCTCAAAAACATTCTTGGGACTATTTCATCTTGTCTGCTTCCCCTCTGTGTTGGGCCTGAAAGTACAGGTGCCCTTAAGCGTAGACTTTGTTTGAGCTTATACCAAGTTGAGGTCATTTCCATTAACATGATCTCCCGTGTGTCTGAT